CTAAGTAATCAGCTTATGATGTAATCGATTGTTAAATTCTCTCCCCACAATGTTAGTTTGAAAAAAATTTACGAAACAGAAAAGCCCTTTTTTGTAGCCAATAGATAATTATTTTTTCGCACAATCACTTTATTTTGTTGCAGTGTATAAGTACAAAAGAAAATAATATATTATTCACTTTCCTTGAAAAAAGGAGAAGAGAATGGTCGATGTATTTAGCATTATCAATTATGACTTTTAATTTCAAGACGAAATTAACTCTTAATCATGTTTAAAAATAAGTGAAAGATGATACTTATATCACTTTTGGTTTTTAGTAATAAGATTAATGGCACGTGGGTGCAATCATTAATAAAAAATAAAGCAATTAGCCCTAGTGATGCTTAGTGTTGAGGATGGTCCCCTTATGTCACAAAGAATGAAAGAAAAAACAAAAAGAAATCATGTGTTTCTTATTTAAAAAATATTATGCTTATCAAAACGTAAGTGTTGAAGCTATTTTTTAAGAGATTTAAAGCTTTATAACAGGAGATAAGATTAAAAAATCATTTGGATATGTTTTTATCATTGAAATTTTTTAATGTGATAAAGATCATATTTTTCTTTAGCAAGCTTAATCATCCTTCTTGTGCCTTAATCATCCTTCTTTAGCAGCATTGTACTTGGAATCTTTAGTTTTTTTTTTAAAGGATAACATGTTGATAAAAAATTTTGCTGCATGGAGGATATTTTGGAGTGTGAGATAATTATTTATAAAAGTATTTCCATGACTAGCCACGCTCGCTTAAAATGCATTAACGATGGTTATTTTCTAAATGCTAAGTTATGGGCATATGAAATAAATTTGTGAGAATTAGTAATATAATATGTAGATCATGAAGCAATACTCTAGAAGATATAAAAAAAGCATTTTTAAAACATTACTTGTTGTAGGCGTCTTTTCAAGTTCAATTACCAAACCTTATTATCTCTCTATCTTATAAATAGCACAATTTTATTTCTCTTTAAAAACCTACAAAGTGATAGAGAGTACTTTTAGATAGTTATTTTCTTTCAACATGTATGTTGAATGAAATTTTCAGCTCTCCCATTCAATCTAAATTGCATCCCTCAATTCCAATAGAATCTATAAGATCAAGGGTAAGTGGGTGTTTTTACTGTCATCCAGAAAGAGGGCAATTGTGATTATGTTCAGAAGAAAAAATAGAAAAGAAAAACATATGGCAATGTTGCAATGAAAGCTAAAATAATGAGGCCAATCTATAACCATGCAGTGATCAAAATTGTAATAATGAAAAATAATAGAAGCGATTTGACTATGAATGCTATTGAAGTTATAAGAAAAAAGAGAAAAACAAAAGTGCAGCAATGAAAGATACAAAACTATAATAATGCAGTGATGAAGGTTGTTGTGATAAAAATACATAGAAGATAAAAAGCCTTGACTCTAACAACAATAAAAATTAGAGTGTTAATTGAGTATTTTATTTCGACATTTATGTAGTATTTAAAAAAACCTAAGAGAATTTGATACCGGAGTTAACCCAAATCAAAATAGAAGTGGCAAAATAAGAATAAGACAGCACAAGACAAATAAACAACCCTCTAGGCTGAGAACGACAGGTCTAGAAGGGACTGAACGTAGGTGAGGGAGTGTTGGAGGGAGCCAAGAGTAACTGCTGCAGGGGGAAAGGGGGTGGAGGCAGGAGGCGGCAGTGCTAGAGCAAGCAGGAGGGAGTTACGGCAACGTGGAGGGTGTTGGAGGCAGAAGGCGGAAATGCTGGAGTGAGCAATAGGGAGTCACGGGAACATGAAGGGTGCTAGAGGCAGGAGGAGACAGTGTTGGAGTGAACAGGAAGGAGTTGCGCAACCTGGAAAGAACTACGAGTTGCAGCAGCCTGGAAAGTGCGGGAGGCTTGAAGCGACAGTGCTGGCAAATTTTCTAGTGTTTATGTAGTAATATAAGATATTCAAAGAGCAAACTTAGCACTCCAAATTTATATTGACATATTTTTTTAATCTAACAAACCATGGTAGACTTCCATGATAAAAAAAATAAATCTCATAAACACTAAATCCACAAGTAATTACCAAATGATTACCTAAAACATAAAAAGAGATATCAGGAGAGAAGAATAGAACTCTCATTGCCATGGATCATTGCTTAAAAAACGCTCAAGGGTTGCCTCGAGGCATGCCTCGAATTGAGGCGCACAAAAAAAAACCTCGATGTTTAATTCTTAATGTTACTAGTGAGGCTTACCCTTGTTTTCTCTAAAGTGTATGCCTCGAGGCTTTATGCCACAAGATGTTTGAGATAACGCCACGATCAGGTTATGCCAAAAATGTATATTATATTATATTGTATTATATAATCTAAATTTCAGCCAATGTCTTAAAAGAACAAAGAATAATTTAAGTGTGAATACTTAATTATGTTATTAATTTATTCTTTTATTTTAAATTATGTTGAATTTTGGATTAACTAATAGCGACAAAAAAATTGTAATGAAAACGAGATAGAATTAGATAATAATAAATATGATGATTCTTTTGAAAATGAAGAAAGTAAGGATGAGGCCACTATGAATTTTGAACCCCAAGGAGTATTTAAATTTTAAGTGAATGCTAATTTAGAATTACATTTCAAACTTCTATTTTATATCAATACTTAACATTAAGATTTATGATTTATGTCTTTATAATAATAAATTAAATCAACATATCAACGATTTATGTAATATTTATGAATTGTTTTTAAAAATATGTGTTTTTTGTCTTTCTTGGGCTTACAACTCGCCTTACTAAGGTAAAACTCTTTGGCTCCCGATTTCGCTCTTTTAAACTTTGCCACGAATAACTAGTAAGTGTGTCTTAATCCAAAACTAATAAACCATTTTGCTTCTTGTTACTGTATGCCTTTGACAAAAAGCTATGATGGCCAAATGTCTAATAATTAAATTATTATCAAACATCTTATATAAAATTATGAAGTAAAATTCATTAAGATTGATGAGGACATAGAAGCTTAAATAGAGCAATTGAGACTATTGTATGAATCAGGATAAATATCATAAAATCTCAAGTTTTGAAGCTTAGTTTCCACACACCCCCTACTCAAGTATACTACACAATGAAGAGAGAGGTCAAATCATCAAAAACTAAAGAAGTTTCATCAAAGGGCCTTTGAAGGGGTATAGGCAATGAAAGAAGAAAAGAGATTTTGGAGGCTAAGGATGCTTTGTTTAGTGCCTATCAAGAGAAAGAAGAGACACATTACAAAGACTGCGAAGAAATACACAATGCTAGGGTGCATAAGACAAGGACTGAGGACAAAATAGTAAATTTTATAAACATGAATGTATTGATATCTCATGGACGAGCAGTACCTAACAAGCTTGTCCTTGTGGCCTGTTGATTTGTGTCTAGCTATATCGGGCCATCTTTAACCTATGACAACCTAATTTTGTAATGAAATGCTTCTGACACAATTTTAGGCATGTCAAACAAATGTCAAGGGATGTATGAGAGGTGTTTGTGTCTATGTCTAGCATAGACATGGAAGATATTGGAACTGTATGTGCGCCCTAACACAAAGATTAGCCAAGCAACAATGAGAAAAGCACACGAGCACTTAATTACTACTGTCTTCTTAGAATTGCCAGAAAGTGCTAGCAATCAAGAAGAGTACTGCTTGGTGAAGACAATGGTGCCACGATATGTAACGCATAACTAGCAAGAGGTTTGTTGATTTGTCAAACTAACTTTATTGTACTACCCAAAAAACTGAAGGGTCATTAAGAATTATTTTTATTTTTACTTTTAATTTTATTTTTAACCTTCAAAATTTAAAAAAAAAACTTATTTGACATGCTTATGTATTTGTTATTTTCAAAAATAAAAAAGGTATTTTTCTGGAACAAGGAAAGAGCTTCGCCATCTCCTAATGGCCTTCCAGCCTCCACCTTACTGTCATCTCTTTTGATGGAGACTTCAACAGTGACGAGTAATGTCATTAGAACCTAGCCAAAACAAATTTCGCAGTAATTAGCATTAGAACTTCACACACTTCAATAATCTTCGACTCTAGCAAATTGGTTTGTTGGGGCAATTGAGTGTCACCAGGGACGGCATCAGAGCACTTTGATCAGCTTCTGACGAGGAGCTACACTTTTATTTTGAGTTATCATTGCATCTTTCCACGTCAGCAATGACTCTGACCACGATGAAGGATCACTTGGTGCTATCCCAGGCCAATTCTTCCACCACAGCACCATCAGTGTCAACCTCTAAGAGTCATGTAGATTTCACAGTTTGCAAGTTCCTTGAGAGAGAGTTGGAATGGTTGAAAAAAAGGAAACTTTTTATCCACACATCTAAAACTTATCTTCACAGTTTTAAGAAAAAAAAAATATTTTAAAAAAATTAAAAATTTTAATAAAACATATTTTGTTATATTTTTAATCTTTTTTTAGAAAAAATTCCCAAAAAGGGCCTTACTTTTCCAATTTCAATATCACAAATTACTTAAGAAGATTCTAATTTAATTTCAAACGGAGAGATCAAAATTCTTACGCCCTTTCAGATACCAAGAGGTCAAATATACTGAGATTGCATTGCCTTCATACATGCTAAGCTTGTCCGTTAATAATACATTCAACAAGAAAATAATTTATATAAACGTTAGCACTTATTGGACTAAGAATACGAGCTTACATAATTACCATTTATTTCATATTTATCAATGCCCTGCACAAGCCTTAGCATGTTGGAAGGGGAAGAAGAAAATGTAAAAGCAATATAAATAGTACAAAATGAAGCTTCTTTCTAGACATTGCAACCACGAAAGGTCAAGTGACGCTTGCGCAACAATATTTGTTGATGTAGTCTACATTTTTTAAGAAGTGCTTAAATATTCAGAAACTTATGTTGGATGTAAAGAGGGTCACTCCAACAAAAATATTGTGAAAGGACAAAAGAAACAAATTAGGTAAAATTACCAACAAATTTGAGGGTTCTTTCCAATTCGAATCATTCCCACAATTTTCACTGTATTGTCCTCCCAAAATTTTATAGCTCGAACCCTTAAAGATTTTGTTCAGCCAATCCATAAAGCAAGAGGTTATCTGGGCATGGCGATAGAGCAACCCATAATCCTGATATAGCACAAAACTACAAAATAAGCAAGGCAATTGACATAGAAACAAATATTTCTGGCATATGAAAGAAGCGGAAAATTTGAGTTGCAAACATTAGATTTTTAAAGGAGATCTGAAGCCATGTTAGAATGTCCAGCAAGTTTCAACTCATTGGCTTTGAGAATGAAACGCACAAGTAGATCTAAAATTGTCAAGAGTACAAAACACTTAAATATAATGATTCATCATAATCATTTAGGGTCCGTTTGGGGCAGTTTATTTGGTGCGGTGGCGTTTTGAAAACGCACTTGGTCTGTTTAAACTGCGTTTTGGCAGTTGCGTTTTGGCAGTTTATGCATTTTGAAAACGCTGAAAGCAGTGTTTTTAGACCGCACCTAGATAGGCGGTGGCAGCTTTCTGGCAGCGGTATGGCTTTACCAAAAAAATAAAAATTTGCAATAGCCACTGCATATAGCTTATAAGTAGATTATTTTTAATCAGCTTATCAACAGATTATTCAATTAAGCTACAGCTGCCCCAAACAGACCCTTAGTTTCAGGAAAATAAATAAACAAAACTATTGTTCCATTAAACAATTAATATTTAAAGACAATTGACCACATACAATTATAGTATAACTAAAGCATCTAAATTGTCACAGCCCAGCCGAAAAGCTTGTAAATAACAAGATGGAAACGTTTGGTAAAATAAAAAATTTCAAATTCATTTACTAAAATTAAATAAAAAAAACAATAATTCAAACTTATCAGCTGGCAACTTACAATAAATCTAAAAAACCACTTAAAAATATAAAATTCAAGCTCAACCAAAAGTAAATCAATTCTAGTACAAATACCGTTCTCTTGTATGGCCACAACTACGATATACTAATTCTCTTCCTCCACTCATTTCTTTCTCGGTACTTTATCCTGGAAAAACATTAAATAAAAAAATAATTTGTGAGTTACCAACAATTTGTAAATACCTCTAAATTACACTAATGTAAATGAGTTTGAAAAACATGAAATATGATTGTTAAATTAAGCATGCACGCGCGCATGCAGAGATATGTATGTATATTATCTATCTATATATCTATGTATGTATAGTATCTATCGATATATCTATGTATCTATAGTATCTATCTATATCTATGTATCTATATAAGAGCGCTCACTAAACTAAACAATTTGAGTACTTTAAAATGAATATTTTTTTATATTTTATATGTGAGTATCTTAGAATTTCTAACTAGCATCATAATGAGGTGAACTCTATTAGTTAACATACACATGCAAGCTTTTTCTATAATTCATTTCATTCACATTCTCCATATCATTCAACATATTTTTATAATAAAAAAAAGAAATTTAAATGAATTAAACGTGTTGAGAGACCTATAATATTCATTTCAACATCATTGATATATAATCAATAGAGATGATTTATCATTATTGAATTTGCAATAACAATCAACTTAAAAAAGAACCATTTGATGCATTTACTTTTGAAGAAGCAAAATTATTATTACAATTTAAAAATATAGAAATAAACCTTAATGTCAAATTACTTGTTTATTGCTTAATTTGTAGTTATCACCTCTTTTATTGTGAAACCTATGCAACTTTTACATACTTAAATATAAAATTTTTAACTAATTTCAATCAATTCCTTTCAATTATAAGTGCATCAACCTCTCTTTACAACAATTCTTTCTTCATAACTTTATTATATTTTAAATTTGTTCAAGTAATTGAACTATACGTAATACACATGGTTTATTGCTTTACATAACATTATTATTAAATTATATAAATGATACCAAACATTATACTCAATCCAACTGAGATTTATAAAGGTTATCATTTGACTATCTAATACAATGTTCTGGTGTCAGACTAACCTATACTCCAATTCACTTGGAATTCCTACGGAACAAGAACATCTGGAAAACTGAAAGAGGGGCAGCTTAAATCAAATTCAGATGGACTGATATTAGCAAGCAAGAGAAAAAAGAACAAAAGGAGTAAAAACTCTCTTTTTATATATTCAGCAAAAATGGGGGAAAAACAACAAAATGGGCAACTTTAGATACTTTGAAAAGCATATCCAGGTCAGAATTGAGGAGGGAAGAACAAAAAATCATACCTTTGTCGCCTAATACTCCTTTCGTGACTGCCAAGAGACATGCCCTTTGCGAGCCAGTATGAGATGATGATTACCTGAAGAGGATTCATCAACCTGCAATTCCAAGCAAACTAATCAATAATTTGGAATTACATCCAAGGAACGAAAGTATAGGATAGAATGTTGAAAGCCATTTAATGTAAACATGTTTGGGCATAAAAAATACGATCACCCAACTTTTAGAGTTAAGTTTAGATGATGATAAGTAAAAAAAAATTCAAGAGTTAAGATTGAATAGTTAAAATTAAGAAGTGAATTGAGCACTTTATCTCATTGGATAATATCATCAAAACACCTGTAAATTCCTCAGCAGGATTTTTTCAAATGTTATGCATTCAGAATATTATTGAATAATACTGCAATTATTTGTGATATCTTTTTTGATGCAAATCTTGCTAAATGCACTTCTACATATTGTGAGGTTGAGGAGTTCTTTTGTCGTATTCACTAGAAATCCCCCTATTACAACAAGAAATCGAGTACAGAATTCAACCGTGAATCTAAATAAAATAAACCACTTTCTATATATAGTTAGTGTTTTATATTAACATGATCCTACACTGACACTCTCCCTCAACATACATATTATAGCTCCAACATGTTGTGTGTGTGTGTGTGTGTGTGTGTGTGTGTGTGTGAGAGAGAGAGAGAGAGAGATAAGTACAAAAAGTTTTAGTAACAATATAAACCACTTATTCTGAATTGAAGACATAAAAAATGGCAATCCTCTCAAAGCACAAAATCCAAAAAAAATGACACACAATCTATTCTTATTGGCAATATAAACAATTCATGATTATCACAGTACTAAATCATAGATTGTGCAACTCAAAAATCAAACTCTCCAGAAAGAATCTTTATCCATATCATTTCACATGCATAAAGAGTAACAATTTTCTATTCAATCTCAGCACTAGATATAACCATAACAATTTATTTATTATTTTTCTAGATGGCCAAATTTGCTTCAACATAAATGCAATATCCAAAGTTTAGCTATCTTCAACACCAGCATAATATATATTTCAGAACGATTTGACATTCAAGTTCTAAGTTTTAGTATACAGTAACCAAATTTCAAGGAGACTTTTACTTTTTGATATGCTTGAGAATGTGAGAATTGCCTCCTAGTGCTTCTATTTTTGTGCTTGCATCTGCTAACTAACAACTCGAACGGTAAATAAAATATCAAGCTTAGTAACAGTCAGATGAATCAATTTCCTGAAATTTTTTTTCCATCAAGATAAATTATAAGAGTCCTTCTCTTGGAAGAGGTATAAGTCTCCGTAGAAATATCAACATATTTAAAACTCAGGAAAATCAATCCTTTCAAGAAGATTAGCTGACTATTTATGTAAAAAAGAGATACCATTTTTTGTTGGAGGAAAATTCAACATCAAGAAAGTACTTTGACCTAAACCTTCAGCGACTAAACATTTTTCAAAACAATGCTGTAACTAAAAAATGCCTTCTTTATCACCCCCAATGAGACATGGACAACAAATATGACAAAACATGAAGTTGTAGGCCGGATAAAGATGAAATTATTTACAATGCTATTAGAAATACAAAATTCGACAAGCTAGACAAGCGTTTTGCATCACTTTTTCAGACTAACCCTGTAAACTTTATCCAAGCCCTTATTTAGCCTTTGCAAGTAGACATATGTGGTTCTGTTCTTATGCCTTAACATAGCCAAGAGGTTGTTCTCTACAAACTACATCAATCATGTCACCATAAAGTGAAGTACTACTCGCATTCATCTACAGCATAGATTGTCTTTGATTGATGGACAGATAAAAAAATCAAATAAGAGGGTCCAGATGAAGTTAAGTCTAGCAACATAGGAAAAAATATTTAAACAATCTATCACATAGACTTATGTGAACCATTCAATAATCGTTCAAACTTGGCATTTATCGACCAAACTATCATGTTAAAATTTGATGATGAACCGATTGATGAGCGATTGATTTAATTCCAAAAGAGAGAACAAACCAAATCCCTGTATGACAACTAAGCACCCATCTCATTATTCATAAATTGGTTCCATAGGTATCTATAATGTTTACTGCTATGTCCAAAGCATAGAAAAAAATGATAAAGATAATGTGAAAGTATGAAAAGATAAAGAAGAATGTTCAATAGGCAATATAAGAGTGAATGGACTAACAATTAAGGCAATTGATAAATATACATCATAAAGCTCATCAACAAGTGGATGCGAGTCAAACTTGACATTATGGTAGGAGGTGGTGAAGTAAAAGGGGATCAAGGTCATTAATAATAAACCTTTAGGGAGTATAGAAGCTCCTGGAGGAAGAGAAACAAATGATGTATGTGACTTAATGAGAATAGACAAAAGCAGGGAGTAATCTCGTACGAGAATACATTGGGTGAGCACCAAGTAAGAGAATTATAACATCTATATCCTTTTTTAGTACAAAAATACTAGGGAACTTTACACTTAAAAGCACTATATGGAGTTTGAATTTTGAACAGAAGGAATGAACATTGCATATTTAACTAAATATCTTAGACAATTTGGTAAGCAAAAAAATTGTGATGGGTTAAAGATTATTGAGAGAAGGAGAAAGGATATGATTGATGAGATAACATGCTATTAGGGTAGCATCCCCCCATAACTGGTAAGAGATATTCATGTGAAAAATTAATGTCTTTGCAAATGACAATTTTAAAGTTAGCTGTACTATTCTATTGAGATGGCTGGGGACAATAACACTGATGAATAATTATATTAGTAAAACAAAATGTACAAAATTAAAACTACATAATTTCTAAAACATTACTAATGTGCAAAATTATAATTCAGATAAAAAAATGAACCCAACTCGCAGATAGGGCAGTGCAACTAGTATAGAGATGAAGAGAAGAAATAAACTTTCAAAATCAATTGGCAAGTGAATGGACCAGACTAAAACTGAAACTACCAAATTTATTTAGGAGGATGAACCCATTCACAATGCAATTGAAATGGAGTAAAAGGGTTGACAGAGCAAAAGGGGCCTTGATAAACAAATTAGTAGACCCCACAAAATTCAACACCTACACCAATCATTTTCTTTGATTTAAGGTCCATTAAGGTGTAATAAGAGTGATAAAATGTCAAAAAAAAAAAAGAATATATTATACTTTAATAAAAAACAATGGAACATATAAAGAGTCGAAAAGAGAGGAGAATTAGAAGGTTGCATGCTACCCTTTCAAAGAAGAGGAACCATAAAAAACAATAAGAGGTGGTGGTAAAGAGGACATATGAATAAAAAAAAAAATTATTTAGGGATATCTGTTATATGAGAATGACCTTAACATAAAATGCATGGCATACAGATAAAGATAAATAAAAGAAGGCCAAGATGAAGAAACAGCCTGAGACAATCAGATAGATATATCAGATTGTTGAAGTAGTCAATCATAGTCTTCATAAGACAGTAGAAAAAAAAAACCCAAAAAGCAAGTACTAAAAAAAATATGCGGAGTTAAACTATTTGTGAAAGCATGTTGAGTTTGATGTAACTGCAATGAGGGTCTAGAAAAAAATGATTACAAACACAACCAAAGCCGCCACTATTCCAACTACTATATCCACGACTTCCCTTTACACCCTTAGAACCAAATGTCAAGAATAATTTTTTAGAAGTGAGATGATGGGGAGTGGAGAGCTCTAAGATATAGAAAACCAGAGATAGAGTATTTGCAACATTAGAGATTTTGGAGCCTACCGCAATCAAGATTTGACATCTTAAATGGAAGGATGTGGGTTAAGGAAAAAATTAACGAAAAGAGATTATCCATTTTACTATGGCAGATAATCAATAATGATAGGATGATATTGAACTAACTCCCGCAGTTTTCTCGCAATGTGATATAATACTTCTGGATATACATATCATTTAGTTGAAGACAAAATAAATATCGGAGTAAAAAGTGTAAACACAAAAAAAATTACCTTTTTCATAGTTTGGGAACATGGCAGTCAGGACTGAAATGATCAAAGCTACTAAACAAAACAAGAACAACATGATAATGTGCTTATCATTTTGAAATTTTAACAATAAAAATGTTATTTGTAGAAGACTCGTCAGATGATGGAGTTTTTAATGAGATCTAAAAAAAATGGAAGTTTTTCGCCCATAGGAGATACTTAGTAACCAAGGAACTTGACATTGATACCAATAGAAGATGATTTTGAATTATTGAGAAAAGAGTAAACATCATGATGTGATGTAGAAAAGAGCCAGGGAATCCAAGAGCTAACAAAATTTATTAAAATTTCATAATTTGTGAAGGATTTAAGCACTAAAGTAATGGGTAAATAATAAATAGCTAGTAGAATAAATGGTTACAATAAAATTGCAAAAGAAGCAAATTGGTATCGTGAGCGGTTGACAAGCAAGAAGGAGCATATGTCAATCAATGAGCCACATCGAGTGTAGGTATAAGTCACAGCACTTTACAAGTGAGGGAACAAATTGGTGGATCAAGAGTGGGACTCCATTGGATGGGGGCAAGATCAAGAATAGGATAGTTGTTGCACTTCACTAAAAAGGAACAAGATAGTTGCAACTAGTAGTAATGATAGCAATTTTAAATGATCAATATTGAGAGTGTGTTTGGGAGTGAGATTGGGATACGACATTTGCCATGTCTCGTCATGGGAAAAGTCGCGAGAGAATAGAGAAGAGGAAAGACTTACGACTAGGGATAACTTACCCTTTTATTCTAAGATAAATAAGAAGATTGTTATGCTTTATGCACCATAAATACACTATATTTATGATAAAGAATTCAATAAAATATTATAAGGCACTCCAAATAATGTGCACCAAGCTCCATTACACATGGATAGCTTTCATATTTAATACAATAATTGCTAACATCATGCATGTTAATTTTGAAAATACTTTAATGAAGCTAAAATCTTCTTCTTAGCATTAGCATAAAATTATTCTAACCCATTACTATGATGCGGAATGTGTATAACACTTACCAGTACCCATAACTATCAACATCTTTTTTTGAAATCTTATCAA